CAGAGATGTTGACACGTGTGTGCATATATATACAAAAGAGAGAAATTGAAAAACAAAAAAGAAATATAACAATATATGGCCAATACAGCAAAAAATATGCACTTACAAGTCAAAGTTTTCTCATCTTTTATCAATTAGCTTTTTGCAGCACGTAAATAAATCATTAAAACTCGGTTTAAGTGGCACTCGTCATAACCTTGAAGAAACATAGACCAGCTCTTCGTCTTTGTACATGGAGAAAAGAAATCAACATAAAAGTAGAATATGTATTATCCTCTCTCTTTTCACGTCTTCAGCTGTACCGATTTCATCTTCGCATCTTGTAGAACGTTTTATTGCGTTGAAAATTACAATTTTCGAAACGTCGACTCTTTTTTAATTCCTAATTTTTATCAAATTAATATGAATTTAAAAGCATCTACTACTAGAAAAATTATATCAGTTTTGCAAATTGGTATGTGTTTAGCTATTATTTTAATTGTATTTTGGGTTGGTGTTTGGATCGTAAATCCAGCAGAAACTAACTCAATTGTTATTAATAAAACGTACATAGATCATTTGGTAAAACAGATTCAACAAACAATATCCATAAGCATGAGAATAATAACGATAAAAAGAATATAGGAAATAATAATGCTAATGGTAAGACAGTTCCGATTTATTCTTATAATATATGTTCACCAAAACTACAAGATAAAACATTTTCATTTGCAAACTTAAATCATACATATAAAACTGCTTATCCAAATGAGACATTTGAATTACCGTTTCCTCGTATGCGATTGACTGAAGTCATAATCAGGATTTAACTTAACCGAGCCAATTTTATTAGTTGTTGTTGAAACGTATTATAATGTTCATGAAGGAATGTTTCATTTGAGTATTATTTTGGTGCCGGAAAATCGTGCTGTAACTGAACAATACAGAAAAATTAATCAGAATAGTAATATGAGATGGGGTCAGTATTTAATTGATCCTTGGCGTCCAATAATAACATTTATGAGACCAAATCTCTTTTGTATGGATTCAATCAACAGAAAATTAACTCCAACCGATCAAATCATTACATATCATCAAGCTCAATTTGAATTAAGATGTCCATATTCAGAATTTCCAAATCCAATACCTGAGTCTGATAAACCATTTAATATTTCATTATTTTGGATTCCAAATCTACAACCAAAACCAACAAGTTCAGACATTCGCAGTTCCGCTGGTCCAGAACAAATTTTATTATTCAAACGTTTGCCTGAACCAACTGGTAAAGAATATGCAGCGAATATACAGGAAGCAATTAAACTATCTGGAAATACACAAGGTGCATATGCTGAATTGACTGATAAATATGCTGAATATCGTGGTTCAGCTTCATTAAATATAAAAATTTGTCCAGGCCGTCGCACAATCTATAATTTTGTATCATGCATAAAATCATTAGTTGAAACTGAATATCAAATATTAAAACAACTAATAGTTGATCACATTCAATATCATGCATATATTGGTGTTGATAAGTTTTTTATTGGTGATCGGACTGGTGAATATGAACCTATACTGAGACCATACATCAAAACGGGTTTAGTTGAATATATTTATGCACCAGGTTTGTTTATCCGAGGAAAAAATGATGATATGAATTATTCTCATGATCAGGACATTTATTTAGAAATTTGTCGTCTTAGACACATGTATTCAGCGAAATGGCAGGGTATATATGATTGGGACGAATTCATGGTTTTTCCTCAACCAACTAAAAATTCACCAGCCAATATTAATTATTTTAAACAATATCCAAATCCATGTTTACAATCTATCAACTCGATTCAACTGTGTCATTACACATATCGATCGCTGACACCGCTTACAGTTCTATTACTGAATGTCCATCGATGTTAAACGATTTTATATTACGAGTCAGCGTTTACATCATAGTAATAACTATCAAAAATTCATTGTTGGTTTTTCAATTAGACAATATGATGCAGTTCAATCATCACAAGAGTTTCAAACTCAATCAAAAATTTGGTTAGAAAAGTATAAAGCAAATAATTCCATCAAAATAACAGAGTTTGATCGAACATTAATATTGAGAGTTTTTGAAATGCCATTAACACACCGATATCCTTATTGTAATACTAAACCTCATCATACCCAAGCACGTAAATATTATTTTCGTCCTTCATCATTGTGTGTTCATTACAATCATTGGCCATTTTGTGATCCACAAGGACAGTATGTTGATTGGACAAGTTTTGATGAAGCTTATCAAATGCACTATAAAAATGCGCTTGTTAACAGAGATTCATTTATAGGTCAATCAATTGAACACAGGCCAGAACCAATTGAAATTTCAAATTTTATGAAAAGATTTATGTATGCAGCAAAGAAAAATGTTTAATTCTTGAAGTGATGGAGTGACGGTTATAATGTGTGAACTTAACATTGGACACGCTAATAGTTGACAATTTCAGTCACTTACGCAAACTATTTCTAACATGAAATAATAAAACCCATTCTAGCCGAGAAGAAAAATAATCGTTGCTGAGCAATAGTTATCAAATATAAGCTTTATCCATGAGGTTGGGATGAGGGTGATTGGTAATGGATATTTGCGTTTTGTTTTGATTAAATTTCTTTAAATATATAGGGTGATTAAGATTAGATATTTTTTGCTGTATTGGCCATATATTGTTATATTTCTTTTTTGTTGTTGACCCTACTGTGTCTTTCAATTTCTCTCTTTTGTATATATATACACACACGTGTCATCATCTCTA